TTACTGAACACTTGGGGCTGAGTCCACCTGTCTTACTGAACACTTGCTGCTGAGTCCACCTGTCTTACTGAACACTTGGGGCTGAGTCCACCTGTCTTACTGAACACTTGGGGCTGAGTCCACCTGTCTACTGAACATTCTGGGGCTGAGTCCACCTGTCTTACTGAACACTTGGGGCTGAGTCCACTGTCTTACTGAACACTTGCTGTTGAGTCCACCTGTCTTACTGAACACTTGCGGCTGAGTCCACCTGTCTTACTGAACACTTGGGGCTGAGTCCACCTGTCTTACTGAACACTTGCTGCTGAGTCCACCTGTCTTACTGAACACTTGGGGCTGAGTCCACCTGTCTTACTGAACACTTGGGGCTGAGTCCACCTGTCTTACTGAACACTTGGGGCTGAGTCCACCTGTCTTACTGAACACTTGGGGCTGAGTCCACCTGTCTTACTGAACACTTGCTGCTGAGTCCACCTGTCTTACTGAACACTTGGGGCTGAGTCCACCTGTCTTACTGAACACTTGGGGCTGAGTCCACCTGTCTTACTGAACACTTGGGGCTGAGTCCACCTGTCTTACTGAACACTTGGGGCTGAGTCCACCTGTCTTACTGAACACTTGGGGCTGAGTCCACCTGTCTTACTGACACTCTCAAGGACAGACAGACAGATAGAGAGAGAGCGTAGAGAGAGAGAGAGAGAGAGAGAGAGAGAGAGAGAGAGAGAGAGAGAGAGAGAGAGAGAGCATTTACAGAAGAGGATAAATGAGAGACAGAGACGAGGAGATACTGAGACACAAGAGACAGCTGACTTAAGGCGACTGTTATTTAGGTGTGTGTGTGTGTGTGTGTGTGTGTGTGTGTGTGTGTGTGTGTTTGTGTGTGCACAACACAGGGTGTTGAAATGAGTCTAGTGTGGCAGCATTATGTTAGTGTTAAGGTACAAGCACTGCTTGCTTTCTCTCGCCCAGCCACTGCCGCTGGCTAGGCCCTCGTGGCAAACAGGAAGCAAATTGCATAAGTCTCCCCAGCCAGTACACAGCCTCTTTACCATCAAGACTTGCTGTGTCTCCCGGCAACACACGGTAACTGGGTGCCTCAGGCCCAGACTAGATCATCAGAGGATCTCGGAGTAGCAGGGCCCCAGAGGGACGGCGCCTACCAACCACCGCCCCGCTGCCTTACGGATTAACTCGTTAGGTATAAGACTACGGGAGTAAATCCCGAACGAAAAATCTGCGGTGGAGCCCAACATCAGGCAGACATGCTTACAGAGCTCCAGCAAGACCCCAACGGCGGTATAGGCGGAAGAGGTGACCACCACGGGAACCCAACGACTAGACCGGTGGACGAAGGCAATGACTGATGGACAGGCTACTAAGGCGAATCCCAACAAACTGAGCTGTCGGCAGTCCATTGCAACTCTCCCTCTCCTCAGTCGTGGCAACACCTGCACCACTGGATCAGGAAAAGGGAGAGCCAAGATGTGTGGTTGCAGCCTGCGCTCCTGCCTCACCACATAAATCAACTCACGAGCAGCCATCATCCAGCTCATCATACCTCTCATCATCATCAAAACCCCTATACCCCCAAAAGTCCTATGATGACGGACGAGTGGCGGCGAGGACAGGCAGAGATGACTGCCGGGAGTCTGTCGTCACAACTCTGCACATGGGCGGCACAGATAAGATGGTCGTTTATGCACTGGGATCTAGGCAGCGGTGCAATACGGTCCTCTCTGTGCGACTGAGCACCCTTACGAGGAGCCACTCTGCTCACCCCACATGGGAAGGGGGCTAGAAAAGGCGCCCTAAACATAGCCTGCCTAAAAATCCAACCTGACTGCGCAACTGCACCCAGTAAGATCATCCTTTTGCGGTCGAAAACACAATAAAAATTACAGATCCAAACAAAAACAAACCATACGAGTATAACCTCTATGGTCGCTGCATGGAGTGTCAGGACCCCTCTTGATACTGGCACAAATGCTCGTCCTGATAGAAGAGCTGCCCTTGTGGCAAAAGAGCTGGATAGGTATAACATCGACATAGCAGCCATCAGTGAGTCCCGGCTCCCAGATGATGACCAACTCACAGAACGAGGGTCTGGCTACACCTTCTTCTGGAAGGGTAAGCCTGCTGCAGAGAGAAACCTCATTTATAGAGTTGGCTTTGCCATCCGCCAACGCGCCCTACACAGGCTAACTGAAATGCCTATTGGGATCAACGAGCGCCTCATGACTCTTCTGAACCACTAAATCACTCACGTCATGCCCTCTTCATCTGTGCATATGCCCCAACACTGGATGCAGAGGATGATATCAAGGAGGCCTTTTATGCCGACCTCGACAGAGTGCTAAACTCTATCCCCAGAGAAGACAGGAAACCATAGGGAGAAATGGACTAGGCAAGTGTAATCCCAATGGCCTACTCCTTCTCAGCAAGTGTGCTGCTCACAACCTCACTATCACCAATATCTTGTTAAGGCAGGCTGATAAGGTCAAGGGTTTGTGGCAACACCCATGATCCGAACACTGGCATCCCAAAACGGCGAAGGCAGCAAGCCTCCAGAAGAGGTTTTAATTCTAAGCGTCTGGAGGATCCAGTGGTAGCACATGCTTTCAGAGAGCAGCTCGAACACGGGCTTATAAACAACCCAACAGCAAACAACGCGAATCCCAGTGCCGAATGGGATACCCTTAATACTGTTATGACAAAGACCTGCAGAGACCCTCGGCCAGATCAAAAGAATACACCAGGACTGGTTTGATGAAAATGACCCGGCAATCAAAGTCCTCATCGATGATAAACGTGGCAGCCCAGCGGGAACTTCGCAATCTAAAGAACGACTGGCTTAAAAATAAATCATGTGAAGCATAAAAACTTGCAGATCAGCACAAGATGCGCAAAGTTTTCATTTCCACGAAAACATTTTATGGGCCAGTCACTCGTGGCACAGCCCCATTCGCTCATCTGACGGTAACCACATAATTAAAGATGACGAAGGCCTCCTTCAGTGCTGGAAAGAGCCCCACCATTCATTGCTCAACCGAAACACCGATGTGGAAGTCCTGACTACCCAGCAGGTCCCTCAACATCCAGAGCTGACCCACCTCAGCTATCCTCCATCCCAGGATTAGGTAGCTACTGCCATCAAACAGATGAAAAATAACAAAGCCTCAGGGCCTGATGGAAGACCAGCCAAGGTGTATAAAGCAGGAGGACCTCTACTTACCAGCCGTCTCAACTCTCTCCTGGAGAATATATGGGAAAAGGAGGAAATCCCTCAAGCTCTTAAAGATGCCTCCATTATCAATATTTATAAGAACAAGGGAGACCGGTCAGACTGTGGCAACTACCGTGGGATCTCGCTGCTCTCTGTAGCTAGCATGATTATCGCCCGAGTCCTTCTGAACAGACTTCTTCCTGAGGCGTAAACCTTTCACCCAGAATCTCAATGTAGTTTTAGACCATCACGTATCTGCCCCCCAGATACAGGAAAAGTGCAGAGAATAGCGTCGTGACCTGTATTTGGCTTTCATCGACCTAACCAAGGCCTTCGATTCGGTCAACAGGGATGCCCTTTGGTGTACCCTCAGCTGTTTAGGCTGCCCACCAAAATTCATCTCCATTGTGAGGCAACTCCACGATGGCATGGACGGCAGTGTCTTGCACAACGGCACCCAGTCAGAGTTCTTCCCCATTCAATCGTGGGTTAAACAAGGGTGTGTACTGCCACCAACTCTCTTTTCCATTTTCTTGGCTGCCTTCCTTACTCATGCCAGTGCCAATCTAGCCAGCTGGGTGTACATAGAGTACCGGGTGAAGGGGGGGGGGGGGGTCTTTTCAACATAAGGCGACTCCAGGCAAGAACAAAGGTGTCGGCAGCTTCCATTACTGAACTTCAGTATGCAGACGACCTCACCCTTGTTGCTCACATTGAACACGACCCACAGGAGATCCTGAATACCTGTGCAGATGTAAGACCCAGATTCTCTTTCAACCTGCCCCTGGTTCAAACACAACTCCACCATCCATCCAGCTTAACAGTACTACCCTCTCTAATGTTGCCCACTTTCGGTATCTCCTCTCCCACCTGTCCACCACAGCAGACATCGATGAATAGATTCAGCATCGGATCAGATGTGCATCTCACGCCTTGGACAGACTCCAAAATCGTGTCTTCAGCTGTAGGGAGCTGAAATTGTCCACAAAGTTGCACGTATATCGAGCAGTGGTTCTGCCCACCCTACTCTATGGTAGTGAGACATGGGTCACATACAGGAGACACCTCAAGGCACTTAAAAACTTTCACCTACTTAATCTACGTTCCATCCTCCGAGTTCGTTGGGAAGACAAGAGAACAAATGCCATCATTCTCGCTCACACCAACTGTAGGAGCATCGAGGCTACAATTATCCATGAACAACTACGTTGGACTGGCCATGTTACCCGCATGGACGACAGTAGACTGCCAAAGCAGCTACTTAACAGTTACTTAACGAATAGTAAACGTAACGCTGGCGGCCAATTGAAAAGGTATAAGGATAGTCCTAAGACAAACCTGAAAAGGTGCCAAATCGACTCCCTCACCTGGGAGTCGATTACTCCACATCTTAACGCTTGGAAGAGCACCACACGGGTAGGTGTCAATACTTTCGAGTTAGTGCGACTGCAAACCGAGGCAGATAAGCGCCAACGTCGGAAAGACGCTCCCACAGTAGATGGAGCCCTCCACATGTGCAACGAATGTGGACGTCGCTGTCGGTCCCATAAACGGCCTCTTTAGTCACCTCAAAATTCACTAACCTTGGTGACATCCTTAATAATCCATATCATTTTATTACAGCTGGATGATCGTTAAACTCGATTCCGAGTGACTGCAAATTAGTAGAAGTATGTGTGTGTGTGTGTGTGTGTGTGTGTGTGTGTGTTTTGTGTGTGTGTGTGTGTGTGTGTGTGTGTGTGTGTGTGTGTGTGTGTGTGTGTGTGTGTGTTATGACATGTTACCACCAGCAGGCCGTCAGAACATGTTACCAGCAGGTCAGAACATGTTGCCACCAGCAGGCTGTCAGAACATGTTACCACCAGAAGCTGCCGCCAGAACATGTTTCCACCAGCAGGCCGTCACAATGTTACCACCAGCAGGCCATCACAACATATTACCAGCAGCAGGCCGTCACAATGTTACAATAGCAGGCCGTTACAACATGATACCAGCAAAAGGCTGTCACAACATGTTGCCACCAGCAGGCCGACAGAACATGTTACCATCAGCAGGCCGTCACAACATGTTGCCACCCAACAGGCCGTCACAACATGTTACCACCAGCAGTCCATCACAACATGTTATCACTAAAAGGCCGTCACAACATGTTGCCACCAGCAGGCCGTCACAACATGTTACTAGCAGCAGGCCGTCACAACATGTTACCAGCAGCAGGCCGTCACAACATGTTACTAGCAGCAGGCCGTCACAACATGTTACCAGCAGCAAGCCGTCACAACATGTTACCACCAGCAGTCCGTCACAACATATTACCAGCAGCAGGCCGTCACAACATGGTGCCACCAGCAGTCCGTCACAACATATTACTTGCAGCAGGCCGTCACAACATGTTGCCACCAGCAGGCCGTCACAACATGTTCCCAGCAACAGGCCGTCACAACATGTTGTCACCAGCAGGCCGTCACAACATGTTATCAGCAACAGGCCGTCACAACATGTTACCAGAAGCAGGACTGTCACGTCAGGTGTTGTGTTTGGGACAACTTGGAGAACTTGAAGTTAGTTTCCACAACTTGACTGGAGACTCAGATAAGCCAAGATCTGTCCAGACATTTATACTAAAATGAAATTAACTTGGCAGCTATACCCCGCCCCCTGAGCCTGACTGAGAATGAACGTGATTGGTTGGTGGTGGGTGGGTTGGGTGGAGAGCTTCTCACTGTAATGGTGACGGCTGTAACCCTGGGCAGCACCTTCAAGATACGTCATTTGATGGTTACTAACAATTACATTGTGTAGTTAGGTGCACAATATTATAAAAGAGTCTACTGCCGTTTCTCTCAGCCTCACTCCCATTACCTTAATAAGTGCCGTAGCTACAGAACCAAACTATCCGTAGTCCAACATTTTGTCATTGTGACTCAGAACTGCCCCAGGAATACAGCCTATATTTTACTGTGCAGTAAGCCATTGAGAATCATCCTCTGGCTGATAACAAAGAGGTGTTGAACGTCCAAGACGCAGAAAATACTTAAACCAATCAGTGGTGACCGTAAGGAAGGGGCGGGGCCAAGTTAATTCCATTATGGTATAGTAGTTATGTGAGGAAGTGTAACACTGCGGAGGTCGAGTGGATACAACACACTTCTCCTGTCCTACGGGTCATTGGTTCGACACCAAGACGCTACCCGTCAATCCAAGTGTAAATGGAAAGGTAACTTTACAGTGTGAGGAAGTAAAGGTGTGGGCCAGGTGTGGGCCAGGTGTACTGAAGGTGTGGGCCAGGTGTACTGAAGGTGTGGGCCAGGTGTACTGAAGGTGTTGTATAAGGCGTCGAGTTTATCTCCAGCAAGATGTGGTGAGGTGACCTTTAAAACAACTTTACGTAGGAATAAGGAGAGGTGGGAGGGAGGGATGTACATTGTTCATGGTGTGGTGGTCGGTGTACATTGTTCATGGTGTGGTGGGTGATGTACATTGTTCATGGTGTGGTGGTCTGTGTACAGTGTTCATGGTGTGGTGGGTTGTGTACAGTGTTCATGGTGTGGTGGTCGGTGTACAGTGTTAATATCATAGCCTTGGGGCAGTGTACATTGATCTTACCACTAACTGTACATAGTTGTTCATCTGTACACGTGAACACTTTTATTACACCGCATCAAAATTTATTCTTCACACAAAATAAAACTCTCTACATATTGCACCAGTTCGGATTACACTTCACATTTGAGTTAATCGCCTTTTTTCACCTCCCCTCCCTCCCCCCACCTCTCTCTCTCCCTACCCCCTACCTCTCTCTCACTCCTTCCCAACCACCTTCCTTCCTGCCTCTCACCTCCTGTTCACCTTCCTTGCCTGCCTGCCTCCCTCTCTTCTGCCTTCCCTCCCTCCGCTATCCTTCCTCCCTACCTCCCTCTGTCTTCTTCTCCTCCCTCCCTCCGTTCGTTCATACGTCTCTTTCTTCTTTCTCTCCCTTTCTCTCCGTCTCTGAGGTATTGTAATAAATGTACCCAATTATTACTAACAAACCTTCACTTGTTCACCACCAACATTATTATTATTATTAGTAGCAGTAGTAGTAGTAGTAGTAGTAGTAGTAGTAGTAGTAGTAGTAGTAGTAGTAGTAGTACTACCTGATGCGTACCATCCCTGAGATCGGACCCCTCCTCCACCCTTTGGAAGAAGCAATCAGTGTCAAGTTCATTCCCAAACTAGTGAAACACCACGACTTAACCCTAGCAGAAAGAACACTTCTTGCACTTCCACCAAGACTGGGAGGGATGGGACTAACTAATCCAGAGGAGATTGCTGACTCTGAACATCAAAATTCACTTAAGCTCACGGCAGCCCTCACTGACCACATAATAGCCCAGAATGCAACAGGGGAAGTGGACACCAGCGAAGTTAATAAGATCCGTAGGTCCATTACAACAGATCGGCAGCACTGCCAAAATGACATGTTGCAGCAACTATTGCTGCTGGTTCCAGAAAATTTGACAAAAAAAGTTGCTATAGCGCAGGAGGTGGGCGCCTCGAACTGGTTAACTACGTTACCGATAAGGGCAAATGGTTTCAGCCTTAACAAACAAGAATTTACAGATGCCATTGCTCTAAGGTACGGTCGGCCAGTAGATGGTTTGCCCTCCCAATGCGTGTGTGGCTCTCCCTATGATGGCGATCACGCCATGGTCTGCAAGAAGGGGGGGCTTCATATGCATGAGGCATGACGAGGTAAGGGATCTCACAGCAAATATGCTGAAGGAAATCTGCCGGGACGTCATGGTAGAACCGACCCTCCTTCCACTGGATGGCGAGATCTTCCAACATAGGACTTCAAACACTTCTAACGAAGCCCGTGTGGACGTCAGTGCTCGAGGATTCTGGACGCGGGGACAGCGAGCTTTCTTCGACATCAGGATTTTTGATCCCATGGCCGTTTGTCACCGTAACCTAGCTCTCGATGCTGCGCATAGGAGGAACGAGAACGACAAGAGAAGGGCATACGGGGAGAGAATACAAAATGTTGATCAAGGCAGCTTCACTCCTCTAGTGTTCACAACCTCGGGTGGGATGGGCCCAAGTGCAAGATGTTTCTACGCCAGACTCGCGGAGCTGATCTCCGAACAGAAGCAGCAGCCCAGAAGTTATGTTACAGCCTGGATGAGATGTCGACTGTCCTTCTCTCTCCTTCGGTCGGCTTTGCTCTGCCTCAGGGGAACGAGAGCTTCCGCCCCTACTCCGACAACTGCTGCAGATATTGACTATGAGGCTACAGTCACTGAATGCCGCATAGATCTGCGGCTCAACTAATTTAACACAGATAGGATAGCTTCTTATGTATTAGGATATTTAATATTAAGGTAAATAAATGGTGGCGAAGGTGTGGCTATTGGGGGAGGCTGGAGGCCAATTTAAAAAAAAAAAAAAAAAAAAAAAAAAAAGTAGTAGTAGTAGTAGTAGTAGTAGTAGTAGTAGTAGTAGTAGTAGTTGTTGTTGTTGTTGTTGTTGTAACCATTACTCTGTTTATCATTGGGTTTTATGTTAGTTATCCAGACATCATGAAGCGGTAGAGCAGAAGACTTTAGCTTTAGTCAGATAGATTATATTAACCTGACGGGAAACTCAGTATGAGAATCACCACACAGCTGGACTCACGTGTGGCAGGAATATACTGACAGATCTAGTTGTGTCACTCAGGGGAAACCTCTTTAATAATGTTTACGAACTTACCAACAGCGATGAGATGAATTAAGATTTAATATAACATTTTCTCACATTCTCTCTCTTCCCGTTGTTCAGCTCACGGTATTTTCCGACACTGGATTACATCCGCCATTTTTCAGTCTGTACTAAAAGTTTGTTTAGGTCTTGTAATTTTTTAGTCCTCGTCATTATTAAATAATTTATCTTTGTGTCGTCAGCAAATTTACTTACATTGGTGTCAACGCATTTATCTATGTCGTTTATGTACAGTACAGTATATAACAAACAGTAATGGTGCAAATACTGAGCCTTGGTACTTACATTGGTGTCAACGCCTTTATCTATGTCGCTTATGTACAGTACAGTATATAACAAACAGTAATGGTGCAAATACTGAGCCTTGGGGTGCACCACTAGTGACGTTACCCCGATCACATTTTGTGTTTTCTCTCTGTTAACAATGTCGCCCTAATCCAGTCTTTAATTTTCACGTTAAATGTCATGTTCCTCCTCTTTTGCGAGGGATTCTATCGAAGGCTTTGTTAAAGTCGAGGTAAACCACAGCATAGTCGTGTCCGTCGCTCCCACATTGGAAAATGCATGAAAATAATATTATATTATAATTTTTTCAGGGAAAAATATCCCCTAGTTAAGTCACACTGAAAGTCTCCCCAGGCTTCGGCTTACGTCACATGACATCTTGTAAATTCGTTCTACTGTTTGAATCACCATACGGGAGTGGCTAGATTATGTTGCCAAGAAGGCCTATATCTTTCACCCACTCACACATGCGAACCTTCCTCCCACTAGTGTCTCATATTTTGTGATGTACTATCGTGGACAAAACTGAAGCAGTATCGACCCCAAATGAGACAAAACAGCACACCCGCACACAGTCAGGGTAAGTCAGTTCGGAGACTCATTCCTGTAACTCAGTTCCACCACTGGGAGCGAACTTTTGTCCACGATAGTACAGTCACCCAAAAAAGTCCTGTCGCGAACCACGATTCAGACTCGTGAACCCGAAGCAGTAGACACTGATACATTATTCTGTCCATAAATTCTTCAGATTCAAGAGTCTGAATCTCGGGGTTCATGGTTCGCGACAGGACTTTTTTGGGTGACTGTACAGATCTCGCCCAATAACTTCACGTGCCTAACCATGTTTCTACCCCCCAAGTGTGACTGGGATCTCGATTATTAGGAAATTCGTGATCAATTACTGCAGACTGTAATAATACAGTACTTGTAAATAACAATTAGTTGGCATTAACAGTACGGCTACGTCTTGTTATGAACCGTCCTGTAGCAATGGCGTTCACCTTGCCATGCCTGGCAAAAGGAAAATCTTTGCATTGCTAATAAGCTGAAAATTTGAGCTGCCTCATCCATGTCATCAGCGAGATGCCCGAGTGTTTCCTTGTAATATTTTGCTATATATATTTTCTTTTGCTATATCACTTATTTTGGGGGACTATGTGAACATAAGGCGTTCATTTTGTTATACCTGGCCATAGAAAAGCTTTAGCCGTACGAATATTATAAAACAATCAAACGTCAACCAAGGCAAGGCGGTAGTCCTTGTGGTCACCACACGTAGCGTGACGTCATTAAATGGGCCGAAGCTAAGGTTTATGAGTTACAGCCGTGTGTCCTTACTGTAGAAGGTCCTTGGTATAGTCAACATTATATCAACGCTTAACGCACAAAGAGAAATACATTATCGACGTCAGGGGGTGAGTTGCCATATATGAACTCACAGAATATGTTCGAAACACACCAGTCATTATCGGGAACCTGTATTATCCACACGTCTGAGAACCTGCACAACACGCCCTTATTCATACACATCAT